AGTAAAAACATTGCCAAACATGTGGGACAACACGTGAGTTTGTAAGACACGCGCGTATTCCTGGCCCTGCTTTGATTTGTCAGCTGTAAATTTTGATTGACACACCGGAAATGTGTATTATAAATCTTAATTCTTTTATCCCACTGCCTCTTTTTACATTTCATTTTTATTATTCTTTCAAAGAATGCGATTTTTAAATCATTTACATTTGATATTGTGTGAATCAATGGGAATGTTGTATTTCATATGAGTGTTGCTGTAATTAACTGTTTTGTAAAGTTTTACAAATTTAAAGCAAGAGATTGAAAAACATATCTGATTCTTTTTTTAGAATGCTATCTAATGGTAGATGCTTCCGATTATCGTGGCTTAAAAAATACCACATCTTCTGGTAAGACGTGTCAAAAGTGGACGTCACAGACACCTCACAGCCATACACGAGGGCCAGAAAATTATCCAGATTCAGGTTTGGGCGATCACAACTTCTGCCGTAATCCCGACGGAGAATTGACTGCTTGGTGTTACACAACAGATTCATCCTCAAGGTTTGAACTTTGCGATATCGGTCTTCCTGGAGATCACTGCGGTAGGCTTATAATCCTGTCTCTTATACACATCTAGATGTGTATAAGAGACAGGGGTGGTGGTGGTCAAGAATGAGGATTGCAATTAGATTTAATTAATAACATTTATTATACAAAAAACTTATATAATATAAAAATAATATATAAAACATATAATATAAATAAATAAATAAAATATAAAATATATAGGCCTATTGCCTATATATAGTTGGAATATTTTGTGCCAATTTCAATAAACAATTATTTTCAAGTGTATTTCATTTTTAATTTTAATTCCTGTTTATCTTTATAATTTTAACATTTAAATCATATTTTCTGTATAACTGTATATCTGCAAATCAAGATTTGTAGGCCCTTATATGCCTATCGTACTACAGGACAAGTCGTTTAAATCGAACGGTGAAAATTGTCCTCGAATTTCGCCAGGTTTTTAATAAAGGGAACCAGACAGGAAGTGAAAAATGTTAACATATCGCAGTCGGAAAGAAAAATTAACTTGACGTAACATGCATGTGACGACTTGAAAAATTCAACTTGTCGTAAGAATCGTTACCGGCTTATTTTGTCTGGGGCCCAGCACGATCAAGACGCGGCTGTTTTTGTCCAACTTCTCGTAACAGTCGTAAGAATCGTAAAAAATTCTGAATTTTACGTCGATAGGAAACCAGGCATTTCCATTCATAACTGTTCTCATCAGAAACCACTACTCCGATTATTTTTGATTCAGGTAATATTGCAACTCACTGTTATTCAGTTACTTCCTTTTTTTAGATGCGACCGGACAATAACCAATTGTGGGAGTTACATCATAGCTAGATGTTTTTTGATTGGAAAGTGACCTCGATGCCCTTATTTACAACGAAGTCACTGAGGCATCACATTCCGTAATTACAGGCTTCGGAAATGACTACGGTCATAATACGACTTATATTTTAACGGATAGGCGAAAACAAAGGTAAGTATACGCCTTTCTTCCCCAGATAAACAAACCATTTAATTCTACCATTTGAATTTTAGGACTAGTTGCCTAAAATATTGGACAAATATGTTCGGTTTTATTGGAAAAAAGGCCAGGGCGTAGGCCTACCGTATTTCATTTGGTAGTTAACCAGTAGATTTAACTTCCATGGTCACACTTATCGCTTGCTACGTTGTGACCTTGACCAACACAATTGACTATAATTATGGAGGTGTAATGCTATAATATTGTCTATTTAAGCACTACCGTACATAATAATATTGCTTAAATAAAATGGAAGTAATCAAAACACCTTCATCGTTACACTTAATCATGGGACTGCAGACATGCAAAAGAAGTTCGCGCTAAATTAAATATTATGTAGTCCTGAAATATTTTTTTGTCTATCTATATTAACTTTGTTCAAAAGGGCAAATGATGCTGATTCGTCTTTATCTTTCAGCCCGGTAACCCTTGTGTTCGTCGTGAACTAAATACGCAATAATACTTTAATTGTGTATCTGTTATGTAAATCTAAAGGATAAACATGTTGAAATTGTGATGGTGTATTAGTAACTATAGTTGTTCTCAACGTAAACAAGAACGATTTCACTCTATGGATTAATTTAATGCGTAGAAAGGTTTTGTTTATTTATTTTATTTATTTATTTATTCTTTATACTGGGTTACCTCGATGCTGATTCGTCTTTATCTTTCAGCCCGGTAACCCTTGTGTTCGTCGTGAACTAAATACGCAATAATACTTTAATTGTGTATCTGTTATGTAAATCTAAAGGATAAACATGTTGAAATTGTGATGGTGTATTAGTAACTATAGTTGTTCTCAATGTAAACAAGAACGATTTCACTCTATGGATTAATTTAATGCGTAGAAAGGTTTTGTTTATTTATTTTATTTATTTATTTATTCTTTATACTGGGTTACCTCTTCAGTAAGAAGTTACTGTTCTCCCAGAAGGCCCAGTACACCTAAAACATTAAAATCTCCAGAAAAACAACACAGAACATCCAAAAAGAAACAAACACAAATTAAGTAAAATTGTTTAGTCTGTCTCGTTTCAGTCTCTGAAGGCGTACTTAATTTGTATTCTGTATTTTGTTCATAGCGCCCCCAGTGGTGTTGTTGGCACGTTAACTTTTTAGTGGATAGAAATTTTCTAAGCAACAAGTGCCGAGTTTTGATAAGTAACTTTAAAAGGTTACATTAAAAGACCGAATGTTGAGTTGAAAAAGTTTCGTAAAAATGTAATTTTTTGTGCTAAGCAGCATAATGACTAATTTATGGATAAAAGAAAAAAGAAGAAAAAAAACCCCCTGAATGAACATTTTCTTGTATTCTGCCTTGTTACATAGTTCTCAGTATATAATTTATCTTTAAGAACTAAATACAATAAGCCAATTCGTAGTTTAAACTGTGCATGTCCGTGCCAACTGACATATTAAATGTCACTTAGCCTATATGTTTCCATAAAATCGCTACTATCTCATCTGATTTCATCTTGTCTTATCCCCACTTTCAAATTAATGTGATTTTATTTTTGCATGAAAAATATTACCTTTTGTATATTTTGTTTATCTACTGTACATTTTTAGATTGGAAATATGCCGTTACCACTTACAAAGCTATGTCAAGTTATTATAACACTACATGCGTTTGTTGAGATTTTTGGTGTTTCTATGCCGATAGCACCGAATGGCAAGTATATATATTTTTTGTAACGTTAAAACCCGCGACTGGTGTTTAAAATAAATTTCCCTGTTTACATATTATCAATTTTAATAAATTTAGAGCTTGATTTTATATTCACCCACTCCCACACTTGATCGATACACATTTTACCATGTTTTGTTTTAATACGCACCCCTTGGAAATAATTCAAACGACTTTATGGGATATTTTTAATTTTGTTCATTATATACAATATTACGAAATATTTTCCCAGTTTGAAGGTGTGTATTTTGTATTGAAGGGATATGTTTCAAATTGACCTTTTCGTTAAGCCCCGCCCCTTGGATATTGTTGCTAAGGCCCCCACAAGTAAAAACATTGCCAAACATGTGGGACAACACGTGAGTTTGTAAGACACGCGCGTATTCCTGGCCCTGCTTTGATTTGTCAGCTGTAAATTTTGATTGACACACCGGAAATGTGTATTATAAATCTTAATTCTTTTATCCCACTGCCTCTTTTTACATTTCATTTTTATTATTCTTTCAAAGAATGCGATTTTTAAATCATTTACATTTGATATTGTGTGAATCAATGGGAATGTTGTATTTCATATGAGTGTTGCTGTAATTAACTGTTTTGTAAAGTTTTACAAATTTAAAGCAAGAGATTGAAAAACATATCTGATTCTTTTTTTAGAATGCTATCTAATGGTAGATGCTTCCGATTATCGTGGCTTAAAAAATACCACATCTTCTGGTAAGACGTGTCAAAAGTGGACGTCACAGACACCTCACAGCCATACACGAGGGCCAGAAAATTATCCAGATTCAGGTTTGGGCGATCACAACTTCTGCCGTAATCCCGACGGAGAATTGACTGCTTGGTGTTACACAACAGATTCATCCTCAAGGTTTGAACTTTGCGATATCGGTCTTCCTGGAGATCACTGCGGTAGGCTTATAATCATCGTGAAAATAAATATTAAAAAACAGCTTTTGTTCATAGATCATATATCAGCCACCGACACTAAAATATATAACAATATTACCATATGATGACTTCAAAAATAATTCTTGTGAATGAAATTTGAGTTCAACCAGAATATTTTAAAAAATCTGTTATTGAAATAAAAGTGTATGAGTCCTTTAATTGAGCTAGCAAGGAAAATGACAAAAATAAGAAAAAAAGTAAATAAATAAATAAATTAAATATAATGAAATAAAACAAAACAACAATTTTATATATTTTTTTATTCTCATTTATTTAACTTACACTTTTTATTCTAGGTGTTGCTTGAAATACAGAGAACCTTATTATATTTGCCAGCCTTTTCTATTATATATGATTCAATAAGCTGAGCACTTATCGCATTAAGCGCTATATAAGAACGACATATTATTCATTATTATTATTATTATTGGTCACAATTTTAATAAACAAAATTAGTGTTTCTATGCATTATTCTTTTCCAGTATTGTTTTTGGTATAGTTTATAATAGCTAACTTATTAGAATAGATCTTATTTTATATATACCATACAGCACATAGGCTATGTAATATGCGCTCAATAACTCTCCAATCATTACCACTACATTAATTGTTATATTTTATTTTTAGGCACTGCACTTTTTTACGGAACTGTTGTAGAGGTATGCGCAGCAACACACCTATGCCAGCCAAACAACCGATGTGGTGATGCTCCTTCTGATGCAGAAGAATGTGGATGCGACTCAGCGTGTGAATACTATGGAGATTGTTGCTATGACTACTGGTCTGTTTGTAATTCACCTGAGCCTAACCCTTCCGCAGCTACGTTTGACAGTGAGTTTAAATGCATGACCGGGGATGGTTATTTTAAAGAAGGATATTACACAGTATCATATTGTGGAGATGATAGCACAGTGGATGTGGACACTATCGATAAATGTGAAAACCCTGGATCAGGTGACATTCTTTTGACAATCCTTGTGTCGGATACAAATGATAACATCTACAAGAATGTGTACTGTGCTCTCTGTAATGGTGTACCAATATCAGATGTGACTGCCTGGGAGGTCACGTTCCTCTGTCGTGATGACGATGTTCGCGAAGAATTTGGAGTAGGTCCACAACCAGGTCCACAACCTGCTCCTGCACCACCTCCTTTGCCATTTCCTTTCACCACTCTAGAACCAACAACAACTAAAGCACCTCCTCCAAATATACATGAGCAAGTTGGCAACACTTTAAGTTGTCCCTACGAAAGTTTTCGACCGCCACCAGGGAAGCAGGATACGAGGCGTCCTTGCAATTCAGCAGCAAGATCAGAATGCAACGAAAACTACTTGAATGAAAGTGTGATCAATGCATGTTTATCAAATTACAAAGCCATCGTATACGACGACAAGGTTGTCTACAGAAATCCCAATTGTGCAATCTGTAACAGTGTTCCTTTTTACACCTGTGAAAATATATATCCAGCTACTAGACCTTTTGGATTCACACCATTAACAGTGATAGTAGACTTTTCCGATCAAAGTAGTATCTCTGTCAATTCAGATTACGGATCGTACGTCACTGAAGGGATTGATTGTCCTACTGATGAAGTCTTTGATCCATTTACCAAACAGTGCCTTAAAGTGACATGTAAATCTGGATTTATACTTCAAGATTCAAAGTGTGTTGCACCTTTAAAAACGTCCGGGTGTGGTGACAGTGCATTTCAAATGCCAAGTGGAATTTTTTGTTTATGCAAGTTAGAAGAACACTCTTTAACTATTGACTACCACTATAAAGTTAAAGAAAATGATGTAACGGTTGATGGTTTTACAGAAGATCTGGAATTTCTTGGGGTCCAGTATACGAGGCAGTCCTCGAAACGTACGAGCACGACGATTATAACAATTTCAATTAATGCAATAAATTGTCAGTTAGCGTATGCTATATCTGAATTAGTAGTTAGAAGAATCAATAATACATATGATACACAACTGAATCTTGTGACAGTAACGCAGAACTGTTCCACGATTGCCTTACCAAGTGAGCTACATTGCGACTTTGACGATGTATTGCTTAAAGAGGAGGAGTTACATTTTGACAACATTACGCGAACTGTCCATGTCGATAACTCCTCTGTGACATTTCCTGATGATAAATACATTATGGAAATTGCCATTCATATTTGGAATGAGTCTTACACTTGTACTACTTTGTCATTATCAACGTGTGAAGTTTGCCCACAAATTTCGTTGAATGAATCAGCCTTTCTAGATCAAGGTAATGGAGCTCTGGTCCATGAATTGACAGGAAATATATTTAAAGAGAATCAATATTACTTGGAAGACCCATCAAATACGAGCATAATCGTGTGTTCTTTTCTAAATAAAAGTGGATCAAATATGGTACAAACTCAATTCTTCAATTACTCTGGTGCTCTACTAATCGTCAGTGTCACTGGCACCATACTTTCACTCATTGGTCTACTTATTACTATTCTTTTGCGTGTCTTCATTAAGGAACTAAGGACACTTTCTGGAAAGATTATTCTGAACGTTTCCATTGCATTATTTTGTGCGCTACTACTAACTGTAATCCAGAGTAACTTTATTAAATGGTTGAATGGTTGTAGAACAGTGGCAGCCGTATTGCATTACCTGTGGCTAGTTTGTTTCTTGTGGATGAATGCAATGGCATTTGAGCTTTTTAGAACATTCCGGTTCTTCAGAGCTTCGTCCAGAAGTAAAGGATCTCAGAAAAAGTCTTTCATTCTATACTTCACATCCAGTTGGGGTATCCCTGCAGTCTATGTTGGTGCTATTGTAGCCATAAGTCTGTGTGAATGCACACGTTTAAATGTGGTGTACGGTGATGGCACAGTTTGTTGGATTCGAGATGAACTAGCCTCATTTTATGTTTTTGGTATTCCAATAGCTGTGATCATACTACCTAATCTTATACTGTTTGTAGCAACAATCACTGGAATAAGAGAGGCTAGGCAGTCCACGGCTATAGTCAGTGGTGACAAGTCTAAACAGAAGCAGCTGGCAGAAGAAATGATTATCTACATACGAGTACGTAAGCAATATTATGTTTCAAAGTCAACAGTATATATTTTTTTCATTCTTTCTTACAATTTTGAGTACCTTTTCTCAAATGTCACATTACTAAATGAAAAAGACTTGCAACTTTTATCCTGTGAATGAGTGTATATTATATAGTCTAATAATTTAATGTGTATTTTAATTAGATTTAAGTACCTAATTGGTTTAAGGACACGACTATGCTGAAAACAACTCTTTAATTTAGGTTGAGTCAAGTATATTTGTCTAGATCCACCTTACTGTTCAGAGATGCACACTGTGTATAGATTGGTTTGTGCAAGTATTAGTGCTGGTTAAACTCGAACTCAGATATGTTAGATAGTGTTTTGAGGGATGAATGTGAACTTTCCGTGAAAGTTGAACATGCAATAATAATAATAATACGGAATTATTTCAAGCTCTCAATAATTTATTATTTCAGATTTCAACAGTAATGGGATTAACGTGGATATTTGGTTTTCTTGCATCATTCATCGATCACGTGGTTCTGTGGTATTTATTCACAATCCTGAACTCACTTCAAGGCTTCTTTATCTTCATAGCATTTAATCTAACTTATTCAATGAAGAATATTCTGGCAACCCGTAGAAAGAAACCGACTTCTTCGTTGCCAAAAACAAAAGAAACGTTGGTATTACAAGCAAGCAAAAATCGGAATAGTGAATCTGAACCATTGCAGTCAAGCAGGTTATGATAATCTTTAATCGTGCTAGAATCTTTTTTTCTATGAAGACAAATTATTACTATAGACCTATAAATATAGGCCTACTAATATAGCAAAAAATCAAGCTCACAATATTTTGTCGGTATAAGAATTGGAAAGTTTTTCTTCATGCTTAGGAATAGAAGAATAGGCCTATATAAACTCGATATGAATACATAAACAAATATATTTGTATCTGTCCATATACATGCATTCAGTTTTTCTTTAATTTATTCCTTAAAAAAATTTTTTTTTTGTATTATAATATTGTATTATAATTAGAAACCACATTGTGCTTTCTAATTACCGAGCATGTTATAACCACTTTTTTTAAACACAAATCTAAATTGCAAAGCTTTTAGTTAGATTAATAATATAATAATCCATACTACCTTTTAAAAAGTAATGTTCTTAAGTTCATACATAAAATAAATGAAATCGATAATGTAAATATTGTCATTTACTGTCAACTTATTGTTGATTTTTGAATATGATTCATAATCAACTTTATCGATTAATATTTGCCATACAACCTCCGGCCATACAAAGAATAACAGGTGATATTCACCAAAGCTGTAATAATTGATATAAAATACTGAATATACTAAATTATAGCTTCTTTTAGTAACTGAGAACATTAAAATATAAGTTCGTTGATGTAGTGTAAACAATCGTTGATTTGAAGCAAACTTGAGTGGGTGGTCAGCTTATGAGCTTATCAATAATACACTCGACTTACTTTATTGAGGCAGCAATAGCTTATTTGGACATTGATTTCCATAAAATATATACTCTATTGAGAAAATACGTTTTTTAACGTACCTTTGCCTTACAAAATGGTGTTTGAACTTGAGTTAGTACCGCCAGTTCTGTCCAAGACCTAAATGAAAGCATGGCTATAGCCAATTTCCTTACAGAAATAAATCGTATCTATCTGTTGTCTCGGAGACCAAGATCTGGAACATGAAATATCGGCGCTTTTTTCCGGGTGTTCTTTGGCCAAGGCCACGACGTAGTAAAATATATTTATTGGATTCACCTTTGAACAGGTCAGATGTGGTACACATAATGGTGGTGCATCCTGAAAAGAACAAAACAAAACAGAAAGGACAAACAAATTACAATAAATCAATTTGAAAGCTACAAACAAACAAAAAAAAAAAAAAAAAGAAAAAAGGAAAAAGGAAACGAAAAAAAAATCCTAACAAAGACGGATGAATGGAATGCCTATACAGTAAAAATATGAATATCGAAGTTTATAGAGTAAGTATAATAATGGAATTCATAGCGGGATGTTGATAAGGGAATATTACTATGCGGCTTGTAATTTCAGTATACAGACCTAATATTTTTCTAGCACATTGTGAACGACGTTTAAGGTATGATGAATTTCCAAATGAACATTAGTAAGTTTGCTAATTGGTGTGTTGATAATGGACTATCTTTAAATGTATCTAAATTAGGGGTGGCGCCAGCGGGGGGGGGGCAGAGCACCCCCGTCGGGGAAAAAAGCACGATTCGCAGGGAAGAAAAAAAATTATATGTATTTTCTACATATTAGTAGACTCTA